TCTAATCTCCAAACTCCATGGACTTTCCATTTACTTTGCACAGGAGGAGACCACTGCCCACGCCCCAGCAGACTACACCTGTCAGACCTGGAGAGGAAGAGATGATCCCCCCGCCCCACTGTCCCCTCATTGCCTCTGCAAGGCTTCTATCATTTGGTAACCCATCACAGCCACCTAAGGAAACTCTGGCCACTCTGTCCTTGCCATCGAAGATGCAGGGGCACCTGGCTCAGTCTTCCTTTGGATCCCATATCCTTACTTGACCATGAACTTCCACTCACATGGACAGGATTTATCTCCATGACTCCAGAACCTCTGTTTTGGCTAAGGGAAACTTAACAGTTCCTAAAACACACTACATTTTTAACTAGGAAGTGTCATGCTTAATCAACAACTCAGTTAAGATTACCAGAAATCTGGGTTGGAGATATGGCTCAGGGCTAGAGAACAAACTGCTCTTCCCAAGGATCCAGGTTTGGCTCCCAGGATCCTTGGAGTGGTTTACAGCCTCCTGTAACTCCAGTTCCAGGGGATCTGAAACCGTATTCTGGCATGCAAGGACTCCTGAACACATATGATGCATACACACACAAAATAAATTAAGAACAGTTAAAGGATTATGAGAAATCTGAGTTTCTCAATCCTCAAATCCAACCTGAAATGCTCCAGTGTCTGAAACTTAGAGAGCACTGTCATGACGTGAGTGGAAAATTCTACATCTGACGTCATATGACGGGTTGTAGGCAAAATGCAGTCTCACCAAAAATACATCAAATTATCTTCAGCTTATGTGGTATGGTGAAAACAAAACAAAAAGAAATTCCATGTTTAGACTTGTCTCTCAATCCTAAAATATGTCATTGTGTATTTGAAAAAAAAAATTCTCCATCCCACCCCCAAAAATCCACACCTCTGAAGTCTGAAACAGTTCTGATCCAAAGTGTGCTGGATAGTTTCGTGTCAACTTGACATAAGCTAAAGGCATCTGAAAAGAGGGAACTTTAACTGAGATTGTCTCCACCACACGGGCCTGCAGTCAAGTCTGTGGGGGCATTTTCTTGACTGATGATTTATGTAGGAGGGTCCAGCCCATTGTAGGTAGTGTGAGCCTTAGGCAGAAGGTCCTGGGTTCTATAAGAAAGCAGGCTGAGCAAAGCATGGAGAGCAAGCCTGAAGCAGTGCTCCCCCACGGCCTCTGCATCAGCTCCTGCCTCCAGGTCCCTGTATGACTTCCCTCCACGATGAACTGTAAACTATAAGATGAAAGAAACTTTTCCATCCCACATTGCTTTTGGTTGTGTTTATCACAGCCACAAAAATCAAGCCACAAGTCAGCACCAGGAAGCAGGCTATGGCTGTGATGAACAGGCCATTTGGGGAGGACTGAGGGAGTGTTTGGAACTTTGTGTTGGAAAAGTCATTGAGTGCACAGGGCTGTTCTGTGGGAGCAGGAAGAATGCTAAAGTCAGCTGGTAAGCACCATTCCGCTTCAGTTCCCTGCTCTGCTTGAAGTTTTACCTTGGTGTCTCTCAATAACGGACTGTGGTCAGGGCATATAACCCAAATAAACCCTTTCCTCTCCAAGTGCTTTTGGTCTGGCCTTCAGCACATCGAAGACAATAAAGTAGGACAGCAATTGGTTCTGAGAGTAAGGACTAGTCATCCCATACGAACTTCAAGGGTATGAATATTTTTATACGTGAAATCAATTCTATGACTTTTTAGTCACTGTGGTTTAGAACACAAAACACATGCTGAAAATGTGCCAATCAAAATACTGAACAGGATGTGGCTCAACGGGTAGAGGTCCTGCCAAGCACACATGACGTCTATCGTATGTCCTACCCCCAGGGAAACATAAACTGGGGTGGTGGTACATGCCTGTAATCAATCCAGAAGGACTGTAAATTCAAGGTTATTCCCAGTCACACGGGGAGTTCAAGGCTATCATGGGCTACATAAGTCTGTCTTAAAAAAAAAGACTAATAAAACCATAAAATATTAACCCAGTATGTCAATAATAACCCATTAATTATAACAAATTAATAGCCTTTACTCATTAAGTCCAAATATTTCCTAAGTGCTTAGTTATGTACACAGTCTAGATATAGGAGATACACAAGTGGACAGGACACAGGACCAGAGGCAAGTGGTGTAAGTAGCAAAAAGTACCAAGAGGTGCTAGAGGTGCCAGAACTTTGCAATGTAAGGCCCAGAGTTTCTGGACCTTAGAACTTCTGAAAATTTGAGACAAAGAATTCTTTGCTGTGAGGGCTAACTTGGGCATCATAGGATGCTAAGCAGCAACCCTAACTCCCACCTGCTATATGTTAGTAGCACCCCTTCCCAATTTTTACTACAAAAACTCTATGTCTCTAGACTTTTCGCTTTGGGGACAAACTCACTCCCAGTTGGAAAACATACTGCCTTATACTATTAAATGGAAGGAAGGATCATCACACCAAAAGTGGGTACATGGCTTGATTCTCATAGCTTTTCCATCCAGAGGCTGTGCCAGGGTACCCCACAGGCTGGAATGAGAATGCTGTGGGCCACCTCCAAGCAGACCTCATGTTCTCCTCTCTCCATGTTCACTTAAGAGAGGAAAATACCTGATCTCTTTCTTTCTTTCTTTTTTTTTGGGGGGGGTTCGAGACAGGGTTTCTCTGTATTGTTTTGGAGGCTGTCCTGGAACTCGTTCTGTAGACCAGGCTGGCTTCAAACTCAGAGATCCTCCTGCTTCTGCCTCCCGAGTGCTGGGATTAAGGAAGGGTGTGAGCTACCACCACATGGCCAAAAGGGTCTGATTTTTAATTTTAAAGATTTATTTATTTTTACTGTATGAGCATTTTGCCTACATATATGTGTATCACATGCATGTCTGGTACCCGCAGAGAGCAGAAAAAGGTGTTGAACCCCCTGGAACTAACTGGAGCTACAAAGAGTTGTGAGTTACCTAATGTGTACTTCAAGAGCAGTCAGTGCTTTTAACCACTGAGCCATCCTGCCAGTCCTGGAAGGGTATCTTTTATTTGTTTCTATGTTGAGGTCAGTCTGCAGTGAGAACTGGACTGCTTGGATATTTTCCTCAGACCTCCTAGAAGGACCTTCTTAAGAGAGATTATCTCAACCCTGCTAGAGTGGCCTAAGAGTGGTTTCTCAAAGATTCAGGGTAATGATAAAAGAGCTATGCTGAAGCTCTATGGGGTCTCAGTTGAAGAGTGTGTTACACATGGTTTGTTCTTTGTAGAGGTACTCTGTTGAGAAACAAACTATGACAGGTAACACATAATTTAATTTGCTCCTAGTTTCCCTCCCATAAAACATCAATTTAAAACATATGAAACAAAAACTTTCAATATAAACTATAAAATTCCTTTAAGGAACTCCTTGTTTTTTTTTTTAAACAAGTTTTATTTAATTAATACACAGGCTCTCATTATGTATTCCTGTTGGCTTTGAACTCACTGTGTAGCCCTGGGTGCTAGGATTATAAGCACAGACCACTGCACACCACTCAGGAACCTTTACATTTCTGTCAGTTCACAAAAGTAGCAAGCTGCCATAAAAAGGTACAAAAAGTGACCTGAAAACTAACCTCGGTTATGTGGCATACCGGAGGCACGGTGCTCAGTTTCCACACAAACCCTTCCCTACCATCATCTTCACTTTTCCAGAATGAGCAATCGGAAGCTCAACACCCCTCCAGTGCTAATAAGTGGTCAGGTTATTATTCAGTTCCACAGTTCAGTTCCGTCTCTCCACAAGACCACTGACTTTACAAAACAAATGGAGAACTCTAACTTCTGGCCTTGGAATTCTTATTAAAATATGTACTACAGAAAATTATCAGAACACACAGAACAAGGAAGACACTAACACTTCTTTCCTTCTTTAGGAAAAGGACTCTGCTTTTGTACCAGATACTACAGTACGTAACTCTTCACTACCTATTACTCAACCACGAAATAACAGTGGCTCACCCTCTTCTCACACACCATTTATAGTAAGGGTCTGAGTAAGATTATAGTTTGCTCTATCCTGTAAGTAGGTATCCTTACTTACATGATAGAGCACACACACACACACAAGCTTAGAAATAATTTTCTTTTCAGTTTTCTCATTGGGGTGAGAAAATGATTATTTAAAAGCCTTACTTTAAGGGTAGGCATAAATGGTGCATGCCTTTAATGCCAGCACTGAGGCAGAACCAGGCAGGTGGATCTGAGTATGAAGCCAGTCTGGTCTACACAGCAAGTTCCAGGCCAGTCAAGGCTATATAGTGAAATCCTAAACACCCCCCCCCAAACAAAAACAAAACCTACTTTAGGATTCCGATTCCGTATTAACTCTTCCGTGAAGTGTCTGCTTTCTCTTTAAATAAAAATTGGCTTTTAAATCTTACACACACACACACACACACACACACACACACACACACACACACACACACACACACACAGAGTCCTACTTGATTTTGGAGCTTTGGCTTTTAAACCTTACACACACACAGAGTCCTGCTTGATTTTGGAGCTCCTCTGCAGAGCAGCAAATGAGACAGGAAGCAGGGACTGAAAAATGGGTGAGGGCTGTGGTGGGATACGAATCTAGTCATTCTTAGGTGCCCTGAGGCGACACCGAGTGACGGCAGGAAATACACTTGAGGGGCGCAGCAGGTTGGCCAGAGCTCCAGGAAGCTGGGGGTAGGGCTCTTCCTTCCCTCAGCTCGCGCTGGGTACTTGAGGCTTGGGGGAGGCAGATGCACCTGCTGAGCCAGGGCTTTGCAGGACAGAAAGGTGCAGAGCGGTCAGGCAACCGTGGCCTGCCACTGAGGTCCGACTCGCCAGCCGCACCCGCGGGGCGGGGCCTCGCAAGGTGGGCGGGGCTAAACCGCGCGAAGAAGGGCGCGGTCTCCGGAAACCTGGGAGCCGGGACTAACCTCGAGCCACCCGATCACTCCGAATCACAGCGAATCTAATCAGCTCTACGTATTTCCCTACCTGTCGGCGAGAGAAAAGAGCAGTCCCTGGCTGCAGCACCCGAGAGCCGCAACGCTGGCACAGTACCGCCTTCCGGTTCCGGCCCTCGGCTGACACTAGCTCGTTCTGCAGCTCAGCCGGTTCCATCGCCGCGCCGCCACAGCATGGGCCACAGGGCCACAACGGCGCACGCGCGATCTGGGTTCGCTCACCCGGAACTACGCTGGCGAGGCTCCGCAGGGGCGGGGCACCCGGTACCCCTAGCTGTGCCTCTGCGCAGGCGCCTGGGCTCTATTGCGCAGGCGCCTTTATTTATTGACGGATCGAAGTGTTAGCATGACATTGTGACAGTCCCTTTTCTCTGTACTCACCTGGTCACCGAGCCTCCCTTAATATTGGCCTAGGCAAATCACCGGGCTGCCTTACACCTAAGTTCTCGGACATTCCCATTACCTCGACAACCCTGGTCAGACCACATCAGCAAGATATTCTATAGTATATTCCCTTCCTATGTAGGAAGCAATGTAAAATGTTGAGAACATTTCGTGTTGGAAAAGTTGCGTGGAAATCTTAAGCCTAGTGTCTAATAGTGGCCATTTATTAGGCACCAAAGCGTTTTTTTTTTTTTTTTTTTTTTTTTTTGGTTTTTCGAGACAGGGTTTCTCTGTAGCTTTGGAGGCTGTCCTGGAACTCACTTTGTAGACCAGGCTGGCTTCGAACTCACAGAGATCCGCCTGCCTCTGCCTCCCGAGTGCTGGGATTAAAGGCGTGCGCCACCAACGCCCGGCGCACCAAAGCGTTTTTACAGTGCTTCTGAAAACGAAGTCATCTCCTTAGAGGGTTTGCCCCCAGGCTCAGTGCAGGAAGAAGGCAAAGAATTGCAACGTCTACAAACCAACAGGGTGTTCCAAAGTCACGGCTCTTTTCTACCTGGTCTTTGTATCCTGTTAATTCTAGTTGTTAAGTTTCCCAAAACCGGAAGGACATCAGAATGAAAAGCAATTAAATCACCTTGTCTAGCACGCGCGGTCTTTGTCCTCTTCATTAGTTGCACATTGCACGATGGGAATTGTGTATGTGAAAATATAGCCCGAGAGGGTCAGAGACTCTAACCTCATAGGAAAACCTCAGGTACACAGTTCTGCCAATAAGAAGGGGTTAGGAAATAGCTTTGTCTATGGAGGTAAGAGCTACTTCTGGAACTTTTAAAATATATTTTTTGTGTTCTGCTTGAATGCTAAGTGCACCGTGTGTATGCTGGTGCCCCTGAACGCCAGAAGAGGGCACCAGATGTTTGGAACAGAAGTTGACTGTTGTAAGCCCCCATGTGGGTGTAGGAACCCAGCCTCTGTCCTCTCAAAGAACAGCCAGCACTCTTAATCACTGACTCATTGCTCCACTCCCTCCCCAGGTAGCAATCTGATTAGGAATTAGGATTGTCAGGAAAGCAAGACTTCAGAATGGGATCAAATTTAGGAATGGTTGGCAAACCTGTGGCTGGAGAAAAAGGTTGTAATAGTAACAGTAGAATGGTAGAATATGCCTCTCAGCACCATGGATCCGATGTTTGTTAAGGAATTTGAATTTTACAGTACAGAAAATGTGAATCTGTGAAACTTGAGGACAGAAACAACTCCAATACTGACCAATAAGTGGCTGTATATTATTAAGTACCCAAATGGTCACATCTGAATTTCAGAAAGAACCAATGACAAAATAGACTAGGGGTGAAAAGTGTAGTGGATAAGAAATCAGACTATTTACATCATAAGGTAATGGATTTGAACAAAGACAAGATTGTGCAGAACTCAGGATGAATTGGATGTCTGTATTGTGATGATACTACAGATCAAAGCTTCCCCAGGCTAGGGAATTGATGGATCCTGAGTTATGTGAACAGAAAAACAAGAGGGCTAGGAACACACAGCAAAGAGCTTGCTTTGAAACAGAGTCTGAGTTTGAGCCACAGCCATGTGAACAAACCCAAGCATGGTGGCTCATGCTCGTGATCCTAGAGCTGGGCAGGCAGTCAGGTGGATTTTGTCAGTCAGTGGCATACACAGGACTGGCAACTGCAGTTGGATCCCTGGAACCCACAAATCAGAAAATTGTCTCTACAGGATTGCCCTGACCACACACACACATCCACCCTCATAACTAAAACAAGACCCAGGTGGTGGTGGTGCACACCTTTAATCCCAGCACTCGGGAGTCTGAGGCAGCCTGGTCTATAGAGCTAGTTCCAGGACAGGCTCCAAAGCTACACAGAGAAACAAAACAAAAACACAAGGTGCATGGTACCTGAGGACAACACCTAAGGCTATCCTCTGCCTCAGCCACAGGAACAAAGGGGGTGTTGGAAAGACAGCTAAGAGCACATGCTACTCTTCCAAAAGCACCTACGTTGTGCAGTTCACAAACTGTAAGCCTAGCCTCAGAGGATCTGAAGGCCCTGTAATTGGGTGTACAACTCACATAGACATATACATAAGCACATAATTTTTTTGTTTTGTGTTTTTGAGACAGAGTTTCTCTGTGTAACAGTTCTAGCTGTCTTGGAACTTGCTCTGTAAATCACTAAGATCTACCTGCCTATGCTTACCCAACACTGGGGTTAAAGTCGTGGCCGCTGCCACCACCACCCAGCACACAAATTTTTTAATTTATTTTATCTATCTATCTATCTATTTATGTTTTGGTTTTACGAGACAGGGTTTCTCTGTATTGTTTTGGAGGCTGTCGGTCCAGCCTGGCCTCGAACTCACAGAGATCTGCCTGCTTCTGCCTCCCGAGTGCAATTTTTTTTAAAAGGAGAAAGCAACAAATTAGTGGAATTATGAGTATGAGCATGTAAAATTATGTAAAATTGGGAAAACCTAGAAAGTTGCAATTAGTTTTATAAGCTGGCTTTCTGTAGACTGTTAAGTGGTGGCTTCAGCGCATTACTGTGAGTTTGGCCCAAAACTCAGAAATCAGCACCAATAACTGAAAGCTACATACCAGTAATTTCCCTTCATGTTTTCAATCTACCCAAATGAACATTTCACAGGTTGTGGTTTGATTAGCAGGCACAACCCTTCTGCTAAGACAGGGAGAAGGACTTTATCCTCTTGTTTGCTTTCCTGGAACCAACAGAGTCTTGTGGTTTTAGCTGGGGAGGCAGAGGCAGGTGGATCTCAGGAAGCATCAGGCCAGCTTGGTCTGCACACTGAGTTTCCAGCTAAAGCTATAGTGACAAGCTGTCTCAAGAAGGAAAGAAAGAAAAAGATTGCAGTTGTGTGGCAGGTCTTGTACACAGGTTTTTGTATGATATGTCATTAACTAAAGCAGGCAAAGGTGATTACTAGGATAACCGGAACCCGCCAATTCAAGTGGGAGCTAAAATGTTCTCAGGGCTGTTTGCTTCTTTATTTCTTTTATTTTTTGAGACAGGGTTTCTCTGTCTATCTCTGGCTGTTCTAGAACTCTGTAGACCAGGCTGGCCTCAAACTCAAGAGATCTGCCTGCCTCTGCCTCCTGAGTGCTGGGGCTAAAGGTACATGCCACCACCACCCAGTTTTTTTTTTTTTGTTTTTTGTTTTTTTTTTGAGACAGGGTTTCTCTGTGGCTTTGGAGGCTGTCCTGGAACTCACTTGGTAGTCCAGGCTGGTCTCGAACTTACAGAGAATTTTTTTTTAATCTTTTTGTTTTCATGTAGATTCCAATTGTGAAAGGGGTCAATAAATTGGTGTCAGGCAAACATCTCAGACTGACCAAAGCAGCAGCAGAGGTCACTGGCAAGCATAGGTAACAGGCAGGGATCCAACCAGGGACTGCTCATTATCTTGTCCTCCAACATATGTGCTGAAGGCAGCACCAGCCACAGATTCTCTTAAAGCCATTTCAGACAGTCCATTTTTAATATTTTCTTAAAAAAATACAAAGGAAATTAACTCTGTAGGCCAACACAATTAGGGGAATGAGGGAAAAGTGGAATTCCAGAGCAAAGAGAAAATAAAATGTAGCCCAATTTAGGCTATCATATTCCCATACTTGCTATACTAATAATGCAAGAATTTCACCCTATGACACAGAGGAACCTTAAATGGCAGGTCAGAGATGTTGGCAGAGGTATGGGAACTAACAAAAGATTTTCAGTTGTCCTTGATTATTTTGTTCCAGGATGAATAGAATACACTCTAAAGACAGGCACAGGAAATATAGCAGGAAGAGAACTGAATGTACCATACACAGCAGTATAAAGCACTCCTTAGTAAAGTGTGCTCTAAAAACAACAGGGCAGTAATCTGGTACCTGAACTACTAGGTTGCAGCCACCCCCACCACATCCCCAAATAAATAGTGTGGAAGTGTAGTAATATAGTAGCACTCGATTCATCAGAAAGTTGGTCTTCACCCATTCAAAGATGGACACTGACATGGCTACATGAGCCTGGCAGGGACTAAGACGATTGTAAAGTCACAGGTACTTCTGTTTACCACAGGTAGGTCGAACTCTGCACATTCACACCGTCTCTTGTTCTAATTTCCCTCCCCCTGTTAATCTCTTAGTCTCCAGTGCCAAGATGGTACAACATTCCGCATTAGAAAGACCGGGGATCAAATAATATGTCTTCTCCAACTTTCCAGTTTACACTGCAGCCATCTTCTGGGTTCACTCACATTCCATTCAGCTTACTCAAATCTCTACACCAACCATGTCTCCCTAAGTGACATTAGCATGAATTTCTCCTTGTGACCTGTCAAATTTTAACAGTGACCGCTTGGTTTCCTCCAGAAAGGAACTGTGGTGGCTGGAGTTCCTTTGTAGTAAGAGAAGGTATTTTTTGCTTCTGAGGGTGGAAAATGACTCATTTTACCAAGCTTATGTAAGTTGATACTCTTCCAATAACCCAGGATGGACACTGTCCACACCTAGTAGGTCATATTCACCTTAATTCTCTGCAATATATGAAGCACACACACACACACACACACACACACACACACACACACACACACACACACACACACACACACACACACACGTTCTCCCAGGCACATGGCAAGTTAGAAACAGTAAGAAAGTGCTCCTTAGACCACAGGGAGATGATCTGGTTTCTCATATCCAATGTGCATCCTCTTCCCATGAGTACCTGTTGCCACCCTCTGAGCAACATTACCAGTGTGAAGGAACGTGTGTGTCAAATAAGTACAATCATCACAGCACTGGTGCCTGTAATCACCCTGTGCACACACTGAGAAATAGA